GTTTTAGTCTTTGTTTTTATGGTTTTATTGCTTTGTGGTTTTATTGTTGTTGTGAGCCCAGAGTTCTGCTGTGTGGCCATACAAAACATAAAATCATATATAAATAACCATAATAATAAAAAATAACTATAAAAATTAATTTTCTTTAGGAAGAATGAAGGGGTCCCTCAGTAGAATAAAGCCATCCACTTCCCAATCACAAATCACCAAGCCTCCATTAGTTTAATTAGGCTCTTTTAAAATGACCCTGAGAGTCAGTAGTCGGCACCATATCCTGTAGCAATGGATTCTTAAATCAATAAGCACTTGTGTGAAAAACAACTTTCTTTTGTCTGACCTGCTACCAATGCATTTCAATGGGTCACCCAGAGTTCTATCATTAGGAAAGGAGAAATGTATTTCTATCCACTTTCTTTACACTAGGTGTAATTTTTACAAGCCTATAAGACAGAAAAGAATTGTTTCTTTTTTTGTAAACTAAAGCTGCATGTGGGGAGTGCTAAATTTTGGAGATTCCATTGTCCCATAACCAGATATGGATATGGGAGTAGCATCAGTTCCTGTATTAGCAAGGTATTCAGCATGCAGAATGCAGGCTTAATTTATTATTACTTCAAAAACACAATATGAGGAAGAAACATAGACCAGCATTGGTCCAAGGCCAGCATGTAGGATTTTTCAAAAGGCATTCTTTTTATTCAGCCTATTAAATGAGCTGAAAAAACAAAACACTACAGACAGAAGAGGGTTAACACAGCCTGTCCTAACTATGTCAAGAGAATTTTTTTATTTCAGTGGCTAACCTCTATGCATTACATTATGCAAATAAGTTGGAAAAAGTAATTTGGAATAGAGAAAAGTGGTTCCACAGCTACAAGCTGTGTAATTAGATCTGTACTCTGAAGTTCAAAGCTAGCTCCGGTGTCTCAAGAGCCGATAGCTTGTGTAGTTTTTTTCAGGAAAACTAAGCTTTTAAATGACAAAATATGCAAGCAAAGCACAAAGGAAATGTCTCCAGGTTAGCACTACAGAATATTTGGGGGTGGGGCGGGAATCTTGTTTTTTAACTAGTCCTTGGTATAAAGCAATAATATTATAATGATACTTTTTATGGGAAGAAGGAATTTGAAACTAAAGCATTTCAAAAATCTCTTTACAAATATGTCAGAAATGCGGTTTTGACTTTTATCATGTACAACTTACCTCTAAACTATTTTGCATCGCATGAGGACCAAGATTCCTATCACTTAAAACATCAGTCACATAACTTTAATTGAAATTCACTTCTGATCATGATCTCTTTGATTGGTAGTAGGTAGAGGCACGCAAAACATTTCAAATTCAAAAGATTTTATTTTGAATTTGAAACATTTCACTTCCAGTTCAAAATGTTCAATTTAAATTTAAACAGGAACGTTTCAAGTTTGAAATGCTTCCAGGATGGTCAATATTAATAAATATTAACTTTGGAACATAAAGCTGAGCATTTTGAGTTATCTGTGGGAACAGGCCATCTTCACAAGTCTCCCAGGAGGCTTGAAAATTTAGTCAAAATCTTTATAACTATGACATAGAACATTTCTGCTGTGTCATTATAGTGATATTTCAATTTTATATTAACAGTACAGCCTTCAGTTGCCATTCTACTGAAAGTTTTATCTTATCCATCAGCCAAAGGGCTCAGGAGAAATTATTCTTTATTTTTGATGGAATTGTATTTTGGTTTGTAAATAAAATCAGTGGTATTCAGCTTAAGGTAGTGGACAGTTATTTGAAGACATATCGAGATTTAGTTTTACCAGAGATTTTATCTTACGTCTTTTTATTATTGCTAATTAGTCATACATAAATTGCTTTGACTTCAAATTGTCCTGAGTTCAAAACATTTTAGATTTCCAAAATGTTAGAAACTGCCCATGTTGAAGACAGTGTTCTGAATCTGAAATGGCTCAGGTTCAAAACATTCATACAGGAATCCTGGAATATTGTTGACATAGATGTTAAAAAGCATTGGGGCTAAAATACAACCCTGTATTTATGGGTAGGTATACTCTGAGTTAGAGAATCATTTACACCCATATGGACTTTCAAGTGGGTGTTTGAGTAGAGAGCCTTAACTAGGAGTAAGAGTTTGGGTTACCCGTTTAAGGTGATCAACTTCTTCCACAGAATGTTTCTGTTTATGGAATCAAAAACCGCACTGAGATCTATGAAGGCAGTAAACAGTTTCTTGCCTTTAATTACTTGTTTTGTTATGAGATGGTATAAAATAAAGCAAAGTAAAAGTGTTATTTTACACTTGGAAACCAAAAAGAAGCATCATAGAAATATTGATGCCATAATGTACTCAGTCTTTTATTTAATTGAATAGATGACCTAATACACGTAACTAGAGGTTGTCTTTGCAAACATGGACATAGACAGGGTAGGCTATAGATGACATCTGTTGCATTTTCCTGAAAAGCTAATTTGAGAGTCAGAGGTGGCACTATGGAGTTCCCATTAATGGCCAATGCTTTCAAACAAATTTTGAAAATTCTCCACCCACACCATAGCTTTTCCTATTTAGCAGGGTGCCCAACTGTAAGGGTAATTATTTTGGAGGGTTGGGATAGCAGAAATATAAGAAAACCACTCTCCTTCCACCCCTTTCCATGTCTGTTTTCCTGATTGTAACCTTATGCCAGACACTTGAAACACATTGGTGGCTTAGTGCTTCTAATACAAATGAAGATACAACTTTCTTTTGTGATGAAATCTGAAAGGCAGAAAGAATCAAACATATGTGCAGACATACCCCACACTTACATGCATATAGATGAGAAAATACTATTGAAAAATATGAAATTGAGCTCATAGGTCATATTTTTAATAAGTAGACTCAGAATTAAAAAGGATTAATATTTATATTTTTTGACCCACGAATGCAACTTGTTAGTGGAATAATTATCTAGTAACATTTTTTTTTCAAAGCTTGACATCAGCTTTGAACCCTCTTCCATTACAACATTATTCATGCTTACTGTAAAAACTGAAAATCTTTTTAACCATGAACTTCTACAATCCCTCTGAATTCCAAAATCTTTCCTTGGTACCTGGCCACCCAAAGTAAACTATTTACAAGTTACAACCCAATTTCCTTTCAGTTCCATAAAATAGCTAGGTGATAAGCAAGACATCTTTATTCATTGCGCTGTACAAATTTTTCTTCCTGCTGTCTGGATTTACAGAGCTGTCCTTGTCCCCTTAACATTCACTAAGGCAGTATAGATTGCAGCCAGCACTATATCAGCTGGCCTATCCAGGTGTCTTTTCTCTGGTTGATCCACCTGCCAGCTTGGGACACAGCATACAAATACCTACTGATTTGGATACTTACCTACCACAGTGCTTCATTACAATTTCCTATACAAAATACAGGATACAGTGGAACCTTGAGTTACGAATTTAATCCGTTCCGTGACTCTGGTTGCAACTCGAATTGGTCGCAACACG